TGTATGAGTATGCATCAGTGTGGTGGTGTGTATTATTATATCAATGATTAATAATGCAGAATGCCACCTACTGGTCTGAGTGTGTGTTAGAGTACATTTGCATGAAGGTGCATTAGTGTGAGTGTGTATTATAGCTATGAATAGCGCCGCCTGCTGGTGCACCAGCGCCACAGCATGAGTGTCCCTGATCCCCCTCCCTGCCGTGTGACTGCTGCTCTGTTCTCGCTCTCTCTCCCCTGGTGCAGTTCGCCTCCTCAGGGCTCTTTACTGTCTGGCTCCTGTGGTTTCTGATCTAGTGGCCTTTCTCAGCTTCCGTACCAACCTGCCCCGTGGTACCCCCCCTCCTGCCTTCGAGGTGAGCCCCCAGTGTGCCATCTCGACCTGCGCTCCCATCCAGACCGTGCCATTCCCACCCATGCCAAGCCAGGTCGCCCCCATTTCACGCCATGTCAACCCCACCCATACCCCTCTGTTCCACGGCACGCCAGCCCCCCCATCACCCTCCGCCGCAGCAGACCGAACCACACCCAGCCGGGCCTCAGGAGGCACGGGATCCTCTGGGCTTCCCTAGCGAACTGACCGCAGGATCCAGGGTCTCGTCCAGCTGTCTCCTGTAAGACGAGCCGGAGTCTCAGCTGCAATACCAGGGCTGGACAGCCTGGTCCAGAGCCCTTTCTGTAAAGAAGTGTCTGAATTCCAACCTTGCCTTTGAAGCCCAGGGTCTCTGGTGCGGTAACGTTGCAGGTGGCTGTAGTTTGGCGAAGTGTCACTCATACCGTGGAGAGCTGCTGTCAGGCCCCGTGCTGGTCTCACCCCCTCAGCCTCTCTCCTCTTTCCTCCTCCCCTCTCCAACTCCGTCTCCCTGCCCCCCGAACGCTCTGAGCGCTGTGTCCCGTCTCCTCCCTCTCCCCCCAGGACGACATGCACAGAGTGATCGATCAGCAGCTGATGGATAAGCACCAGGAGGAGTGGCGCAAGCCGGTGTACTCCTTCTCCGGGGGCGCGGGTCGACGCGGCCGCCCCCCGCCGCCCAGCGCCCGGCCCGCCGGCGACAAGAGCCTCTTCTCCTTCTTCAAGAAGAACTGAGCGGCCGCGGCGTGCCTGGGGACGGCCCGGGGCAGCGGGGACAGGGCAGGACGGGGGGGCCGGGGGAGACACACGCCCAGACAGACAGGCCTCCCACACTCACGCCAACCCCACGTCCTGCTCGCAGCTTCAGGGCGGACCTGCCTCTGACCCGCCGGGCCTCGGGGACGAGGTCAGAGGGCGCCCTCCCCTCGGGCTTGTGCGAGGAAGGAGGAGCACACAGTGATGCATGCTGGGAAGAGGGCATCTGCCGCCGGCGTGGGCAGGAAGCCGCAGGGTGAGCCACCGATGTGCCAGACTCGGACACTCCTGACACACCTGAGCTGGGGAGGTGCGGGATCGGTCCCTGTCACACCTCCCTGCACCTGCCAGGCCTCTGCAGCGCCCCCTAGCAGGCGAGGGCAGGGCACAGCAGTCTATAAAAAAAACAAACTCCCTCTAGTTTGTAAAAATAGTCACAGACGCACACCAACGTGCGCTTTCTTGAGAGCATTGCTTCAACAATGACCTAAATTACCAATCGGAGCCCATCTGCTTTTCAATTTAAGAATGTATGTCCACATTTATTTTTTTTAATTAATTTTTAAACACAATGATTGTAATATCATTTTTTTTAACTTTTCTACCAAATTATTGGCTGGATCTTTGTATTAATTTGAAAAGACACTGAGGCCAGATCACCAGATATCAGTTTAGAGCCTGTGATTGAAAACAAAGTAAGGAAGACCTGGGGTGGCAGGAAAGGGCAGGTTTAGGCTTTGTGGGGCTTTCCTGCCCAGTGAGCAGGCGGGGGTTATGGGGTGCGGTCCTGCCCTGTCCTGTCCAGTCCAGTCCCCTGCAAGAACGGGGAGAGAGCGCCCCTCAGTGGTCGGGGAGTCAGATGCCAGGCTGCGCGGCTCAGGGAAGTTGTTCCACGGTGTGCGCCAGCAGTGCTCCCCACGTCCCCAAGCGCCCCCAAAACACAACAGGGCGGCGCGCTCGCCAGAGCCACATCTGGGCCGGAGAGTCAGGTGGGCATTCCGGGCAGCTCCGCCCTATCCCAGCTCCGCACGCCTGTCCTGCTGCGCCGATCAGGCCAAGAGCCAGCACGTCCGCCCGCCCCCCCCTCCGCCAACAAGTGGCTCCCCAGGCGCAGAGGAAGTACTGGGGAGAATCCGCTCTCGCCCGGAGACTCCAGCACAGTAAATCCGCGAGAAGCCCCGCGTGCTGCTGCATTCTCGGCCGTTCCAGGGAGCGGGACTGACCAGCCGGCCCAGGACGCAGCCGGAGGGCTGTGTGACGGTTTAAGGGCCGGAGCTGGAATGCGGGAACGCTGCCCGGAGTGCCCAGACAGCGGGCACATGGAGGACAGAAGGCCAGAGGGAGGATCCCGGGACTGGGGCCCAGCGGGCTGACAGGCCAGTGCCCACGCGGTGAGCGCAGCCCCCTGGCCCATCTGATCGTGTGCCGGCAGGGGCCAACCCAAAGAATGCTTCTTCTGTTGAGAAAAAAAAAAAAGTTTTTTTAAAGAATATTCCGAATTGTTGGAATACGAAAAAATGGCTAATCTTCTCAACGGTGTATGTGCTGTGTATCCGTTTGTCGTGACCCTGCTGGGAGAGGTTCGACCCCCGGGTCAGAACCGGGTCTGGACTACAGGTCGCCCAGCACGGCCAGCAGAGTGAGAGGAGTTAGCTCAGTATCCAAAAGAATGGGCACAGAGTGGAAAAGTGCAGAATGTCGGGAAAGGGGAACAGCGACACGTTAAACTGCATCAGAAAATGAAAGTGTGAAATTTGTAAGAGACTAAAACCTGTAGAAGCCGATATGAGGGAGAAACGTTAATCTGAGCAAATCCTATGCACACAGATTCCACACAGGGGGGTCCTGGCTGTTCATTGGACTCTGGTGTTCATCCAAAGAGACTCACGTTTGCGCCCACTTACACGGCTGGGTGGTTCACTGGAGAGATCTGAGTGAACGACCGCTGTGCTCTACACGGGGTTCGAACCCACAGCCTTTCAGTTACGAGGCCAGAGCTACCGAGCTGAACGATGGCTCATTAAGAAAAGCCGCAGAGCAGGACTGGTGGTGGCACGACCCGTTGGGAGATGAACCCCTTTTTCTCAGCCCAGCACAGCGGCCCCCCACCGGCGCTGTGGCTGACCAAGAGCAGGCTTGCGAGATGAAGCTGAGATGAATGGGTCCAGATCGGGCTCTTCACAGCTGAAACTCTGCAGCAGTGGCTCATGGGTCCACCAGCCTCTCTGGAATCCCCACCCCACCACCCCCACTCTCAAGACACAGAGAGTTTTCTATCCTGTCTGGAGTTCTGCACCGAGTAATCCCTTACACACCCCGCTAGGTGAATAACCATCACCTGTGTGCAGAGAAGTACTCCGAGGGAAAGGAGAACTGGGTTCCAAGAGCTGGTATAAAGAGAGCACGTTCTGTCTGCTTCCCGACCTGCAGCTCTTGAGCCTGGGCGACGTGGTCATGCAGGAGTGACCGGACTCTCTCTTCCCCCAGTCATGGGGCAGCAGGGTGGGCTCGCCGCTCGACGGCGCCCCCCTGGGGCAGCCTCCTCCCAGGCCCGCGCTGGGGAACGATCCCCACACACGCCCCAGGCGAGCACGGGTCTTCGGCAATGCCCCATTTCAGGCAAGGGGGGGAAAAAAATTAATCAAACGCTTTCGGATTCATGCTACCGAGCCTCCCTCTGCCCCGTCGGTCGGCAGTTCCGCAGCCCCGAACCCCCACAGCCCCGAACCCCCACAGCGAGGCAGTGACCCTCTCTTCACACCCCCTATGTGTCCTCGTGCAAACAGACGGTAACGACAGAAGACACTGTGCACAACTGGCTGTGTTAAAAGGTAGTTTTGTACAGAAGAATAGATATATGTATAAAGTTCTGTATAATGTACATACAGTGCTACAGAATGGCTAATTTTCTATATTGAAGGGAGAATTTAATAAACCAGTATTATTTGTACATAAAACAGAAAAGCCAACAAAAATACCACACAGGTGTATAGAGTACTGTTTTCTATGTATCTGTATATGGAAGATGCTTATTTTTAGTATTAAAAAAACTGTAAAGAAAATCCGGGTTTTTTTATATCCAACTTTCCTACAGAGAAATATCAGATTTTTTTTGTGTGTGAACGCCACTGTGACAAAATAAAGATGGACAAGGAGGTTGTTATACAACATTGCTTCTCTAGCCTGGTCTTTCTTAAGTGGAGAGGTGCTCAGGGGCAGGAAAAATGAAACTCGACTTTTCTCCTTCATCATTCTCCTTCTGCCATTCAGCCTGTTCGGATCTCTAAGGTCCGGCCTGAAACTGCCTGCACACCAGGGACTACGTCTCGGGGTCTCTACCCAGTCCGAGACCCTGGAGAACCCCAGAAGGCCTAACTGTCCCCTGGAGATCTCCGTCCTGTGGTCCCAAAGCAGTTTCTCTCCTCCTCTCTCAAAAAGCCCAGAAGCCTTTAACAATGTCGGTCTCCTCTCACGACCTCTGTCCTGTGTCCTCCTCTCTCAAAACTCTTAATGTTCCTACACATACATTTTCAATATCCAAACAAAACCTTCAGCATGTCACTAGGGACCACACACACACTATTTTAGTAAAGCTCCATTACCAAGAGCCTTGTTTCTTGTACTATCAATAGAAACTGATAGTTAGCGATATTCCCCCCACCCCCCCTCCTTAGAGGATCCGCGAAGTCACGGACCCTCAGTAACTGTCAGACATTGCGTGTTAAAAAAAACAATTAAACTTGTGTTTACCTTCATTACCCCCCCACGAGGACACTGCACACAGGGGTCACACGCACGGCCAGGCTGAGGACAGCAGCACGGGACAGGCCCGTCTCAGAACACTGACGCACACGGCACACGCACACCCGCAAGAAAAACCCCACCTCCGTACGGGATTTCCAAATAACTTTATTTTAACGGCATGCAAGTAGAATAAAAAAGTGGTTCCATTTTTACCGTGCGCGCACAATGCCCCCGTCGGGTCCAGGCCTCAGGCTGGAGCCGGGGGAGACAGAGGCTCGACCCCCGGGGCTGGAGTCTGGCCCAGATCAACCCAGAACTGCGACCCGCTCACACAGCGCCAGGGCCAACGGTGCGCCTTCAGGCCACATCGTTCAGCAGACTAAACCGCCGTCAACATGTAATTTTGGAATGCGTTTCCAGAATGCACATTTGGAATTTGCGAAGGGGCGGGTTAGACCCGTTTTAGTTTAATCCAGGCCTTACTCTGGCGGGACAGTGGGGGGTGCACAGAGTGACTTCTGGGGTCATTTTTACTCCGAGAGAAGAAGGAGCACCACCGTGCTTAATATCCAGCTGTAGATCTAGACTGAGAGAGCACTGAAAGGGAGATTCCTCCACAAGCACACCCAAAGTTCCTCATCACCGATCACGCAGCCGAAGTGACTCGACAGCCGACTTGAAACGCCCCGGTTTTTCAAAAGGGTAAAGCAAAACACCCCCCCACAGCCCCCCTCACACTGGCATTCCAAACCCCGAAAACCAAGAGCTGCTTCCTGGAGAAACACACGTGCATCCCAGCAGATAACCCTAAGGACAAAAGAAGGCAATCCTGTAACTATCACATTTAACTTTGGAAAACATTTATTATGGATTAAATTGATTTAGGGAAAATTAATAATACATCTTAGTTCTCCAGTGTACAGCGAACCAGTTTGAAAAGAAAAGAGGTTCAATATATATATATAAAAAGAACTAAAAAAAAATCATTTTGTTGCACTTTTCTATACTTGTTCTGGACTCAAGTTTATGCCTTCTCAGTACATGGAGGAACAGGGTACAGTCACAAGCGTTATCAACCTGCAGTCCAACTGCAGCGCCAGATCAGCTCCACACCTCCACACATCCCTGCGCACGTTAAGGAAGGGAAAGGCTTCTGAGCTCCGCCAGTCACGCGTTGTTAACTGTCCAGGGTCTGGAAGCCTGTTGTGTTGGTCCTCAGATCACACAGGTTTCCCCCAGGAGGGGTGGGTGGTCTGATCTCCACTGCCCCAGCTCTGCCAGCTGGCTCTCAGCAGGGGGGCAAGGGCATGGGCTGATCTCAGAAGAGAGGGGTATAGAGGATGCCAGGAGAAGGAAGCTCCTTAAAAAAAAGCTCCTTAAATGCATGGAATCATTTAGAAACCTTGAGCGGGACTTGAGCTTGGAGAAGAGCTTATTGGCTTCAGATGCTGACGGTGGTACCCATGATGCAGCAGCTCTCGCGGTGCGCAAGGGCGGGTCTCCTGGGGAGGCCGGGGCACCAGACAGCCCAGCCCACGGGGCAGCAGCAGGGGTGCAAGGTGAAAGCTCCGGCAGTAGCAGCCCTCCGGCCCAATTCCAGGTGAAACAGAGCTCACTTTCTGGAGGAGGGGGAATCTTAAGCTTCAATGTCCATCCACGTGATTGATCAAAGCAGCAAGTCCTCCTATGGAGCTGAATCGAGCTACGCAGTCTTCTCTCTCGCCTCAGACCACCACAGCAAGTGCAGGGAGCAGATCCAACCCCACCCAACAGCTGCAGGGTCACCTACACAGCACTCAGGTGAACTTGGGACAGCGCTCCTCTCCTTACCATGTCAACTTGCGTTAGAAAACAATCTTTCAAGGACTCATAACGTTGTATCCCTTGGGGAAGGGGGAAGAGTTTCAGTGACGCACTTTTTCAGTAGAGCTGGTGTCACACTAATCCGATTCAGACTTCTGTACCCTTCCCCTGCCTCCTGAGTGGGAGTCAGTCTGTAAGGAGGTGCTCCCCCAGCATCCGGTACAGAATTCCGGCTCCAGCTCCACCCGACTGGAGGGGCTCCTGGCGTTGCTCTGCGAGGATGTGGAACGAGGGTGGGGGCTGGAGGAGTTTGGGAGGGACTTGAAGTGGTTATCTTGCCCCCAACACCCCCCACCTGTCCCAGGACAGACCAGCCCACACAACAGAAAGAACCAGCAAGCGCAGATATTTGGATACCGTCCACATCCACAGCAGGGGCAACGATCACAAAAACGACAACAGAGAAAATGCAGAAGGCATGAAACTCTGTACTGCTTCTGTAAGAATTAAAATATGTTTCTAGGTTCCGTAAACATAAAAATAAAAAAGTTCTCGGTTCATACCGAGACACGCCTCTCAGTGATGACTGTGCCTATGAGGCCCCAGAACAGACGTGAGGGGTTTGGGGAAACCCGAAGGCCCCCAGGGGCCACCCCCGGTTCCCATGCAAACAGCCAAGACGCCGGCATAGCCCCTCCGACGCCGCGCGGCTGCCGGCTTCCCCTACCGGCAACGAAAAGCCAAACCGCTCAGCCCGAGAGCCAGACGGGACGTTACAGCACCCGCGGGCTCCTCTGCCCCTTACGAGACGAGGGGGAAGAGGGAGAAGGAAGAAGGGGTGCTGCGAGTCTGGGGGCGTCGGGGAGAAGGGGGCAGAAAGGAAGAGGCAGAGCCAGGCGAGCACCAACAGGTCAGAGGTCACCTCTCCGGCAGCAGGGCCTGCCGACACGACTAGCCAACAAACTGGAGATTAAGAACATTTTTTATTTATTAAAAAAAAAACTTGAAACTCTAAAGTTCGTGATTTGTTGGCGTTAGACTAAAGCAACGATACATGAGGGGCATCTCGTCAGGTCGAAAGGAGGCCTGGAGCTGCGGTGCCCCCTGCCCCTCTTCCCTGGGGAAAACAAGCCAGTTCCGTGTCCCCCCGAGGAGGATGCTGGGAGTTTCGCTCTGCGTTTCCTCCAGTCCACCCCAGGTCAGAGCGAGGGGGAGCACAAGACAGGGAAGGAGAGTCAACCGACCCGACGCGAAGGAAAAAACGTATTTATATGTGAAGTTGGCGGTGACGGCAGTCCTGCTTCCTGCTCCTTGAAATAGAGGAAAACGGGGAGGACCGTTTTTAAATAACACGACAGAGCCGATGAATTCCAAATAAAACTCCAACATCTAAAAATCTGTACATATATATTTTTTTGAAATCCTTGATTCGTTCGTCCAAAAGGGACCACTTCGTATTTTATTTCTTTTTTTTTTTTTGCCTTTTTTTTGTTGTTAAATCTTTCGGACTGGTGTGCGTGCCGGCGCGTTTCCGTGACCGGAGTCCTGTGCCCGCCCCCCCCGCCCCCTCTCGCCGGCGTGCGCCGCTAGCAGCACTTCCTCTTCCTCCGGCTGTTCTTCGTCAGCTTCACCACGTCGTTCTGCTGCTGCTGCTGCTGCTTGGCCAGCACCTCCTTCTTGGCCTTCAGCACCAGCTCCGTGATGCAGTTGAACATCTGCGGGGACAAAAGCACAGTCAGTCGGCTGCTGGCGTGGGGCCTGCCCCCGCGCACCGCGCTCTCCCGCCACGCACGGGCTCGCGGGGGACAGCGGAGGGCGCGGGGGAGCCGGAGGGCAGGGCTCCTGTGAGGGTCTCTGTGGCTTGGCTTGGCGTTCACAGCTCGCACCCGCTGAAACGCGGCCGATTTCGATTTGGGTCACTTTTAAATTTCAATCGCCGACTTCAATTCAACCGATGTCAAACGGAGAGCTACCGGTCGAGCGGAGGACCCAATTAAAGGGGAACCGCAGCCCCGATTTCTCAGACCGGAAGTTAAATCTCGGTAGCAAAATAAATTAACGGACAGTATTACAAAATTTGACCCATTCCGAATTCAGCACAAAATCGGAAGCATAGTGAAAGTGCTGTAAATCGCCATGTTATTGCACACCCCTGGTCTCGATACGGACAAGAGAGTTTGCGAATATTGTGACGTGGTGCGGCCCTTCCTGCTCACTAGTTCACTGCAGTGACTCAAGCGATGCAGAGAGTACAGGTGGTGCAGCAGACGTTTCACCGCAGAAATGTTCCAACGTGACCTGCAGTATCTCTACTGGAATAAAGAGCTGGATGCACAAGTGTCACAGGGCTGCTTCGCCTCACCGGAAGTTCTGTTGCATCGTTTCCGAACCGCAGAACATGGCCGAAATTCCCAGGTTTGCACAGCGCCATTTGGCGATGTGAACTGGGAGTTTTACATGTTACTGTGCGCGACTGTCCTCTTGCTGTGGTTTGAAATGCACTCAGTGCTGATTCTTTCTAACCCCTAAATATAAGAACAGTGTGGCTGCTCCCCTTTAAACCCCGCGCTGAACAAGAGAAAACGAACCCCGAAACTGGACCCAGGAAGTCCGAGAACTCTGAGCGCAATGCGCCCCCCCGGTCACCCCAAACCCCGCGCCACGGGCACAGACCTCCTCCACGTTGATGTTCTCCTTGGCGCTCGTCTCGAAGAGGCTGATGCCCATCTGCTCGGCGAACTTCTGCGCGTCGTTGGTCTCCACCACCTTGGAGGCGGGGTCGTCGTTCTTGTTGCCCACTGAGAGAGGGAGAGAGAAGGGGGGGGGAGGGGCGTCAGAGAGGGGGCGCAGGGCGACGCCTCGCGGCCGGCGGCCGGCGGTCTGCTCACCCAGTATCCGACAGACGTCGTCGCAGTTCTGATTGATCTCGTGGAGCCAGCGCTTGACGTTGACGAAGGACTCGGCGCTGGTGACGTCGTACACCACGATCACGCCGTGGGTGCCCCGGTAGTACCTGCGGGGAACAGGGGGATCCCCTCGGTCAGGGACCAGACTTGGGGCGCGTCCGCGAGGTTTTGTCCGCGATTGGCCTACAGCAAAGCTCCCCCAAATCACTGCATCACCCCCTGCTTTGCAGGCACTTAATCGCCTAGCTGATCAATTTCGATCAATTCTTCTCTTAACTGGACCAGCGTGACCCTTCTCTGCTCGCGACTCTCTCCATTGACCCAGCTGGTCTGCGGCCCCGGGGGAGCAGAGAGACCCTGCCACCATGACCGTGACCCTTCCTCATCACCAACTGCTCAATACGCTCCGTTTCAACACAAATAAGACCTGAGATGACAGGCTGCTGTGTTCTTGATCTTACAAAAACATTAGGATTCCCTCACTTCAATAAATCATTTAAGCATTGAGGTTCTCTTTCTGTAAGTATAAAACCATATCTGCGGTCCCCCTGGGACCCCCACGCTGCTGTATTCCATTTCACTTTGCAGGAGCGACAGTCCGGCAGCACCGGCAGGCTGCTGTTCTCCCCTATGGCCAGCAGGGGGAGCCCTGGGAGCACTCTGGCTCCTGGATGCATGTGACCGTTTTGCAATCTGGGCAGGAAAAAAAAACCAAACAATAGCTCTCCAGTTCCAGTTCTCAACTCATCTGCAGAAATGGAGAAAGACAGTGAGAAATCTCAGCGAGTCTACAGAACCACAGAGACTCAAGAGCAAGGAACAGAGAAAGGGAGCACTGTACTGACTGTTTTAAACTGAAATCAAGACCACAAAGCTAAGAACCGGCAAACTACACTTGTGAATCTGTTTTGCCAGACCGTTACTTTGGCAGAGGAGCAGTTGATCCCAGTGTGGCAAATGGGCTTAAAAATAGGCTTTTTGATTGAATGCTTCAACCATGACACTATCAATTATAATTTCTCCTCTGCCTCGTTTTTCAAAATGGTTAAAAATGAGCAACCTTTGATGACACAGCTGCAGCCAAACACCCAGCTCAGAGCACAGCAGGCTGACACAGCAGAGTCTGGCCCCACTGTCCCTGTGTCGCAGGCTCTCCAGCATCTCCCCCATGTCTTCTGTGACGATCGGCCGGAAGGCCTGCTCGCTCGCCTAGGCTGGAGTCCCGAGGACAAGCACAGGGGCTGGGGCGATGGAGAACGGGGGCCGAGCTGGACCGGGGGACAGCCAGGAGAGCAGGAGAGAGCAGGCCGTGGCGCAGGCAGAGGTTGAGAGGCAGACGTGCAGTCACCCCGCAGCTCCACCACAGCGAGCGGCTTCCTGTCTGCGGCGAGGCAGTGACGTCGCACAGGATGTCTCCTGCTCGGGGCTGACGAGAGCAGCGCCGCGCCCCGAGTCCCCTCCTGCAGGGCCGCCGGCGACTGGTGTGTGCGTGCGGGACCTTCCCAGAGGGCCCCCCCCACCCCAGGTTAGAATAACAAACTGAGTTCCCCCTCCTCCCCGAGCCCCGCCGGCTCTCCACTCGCGGGGAGCCCTCCACTCACAGAGACGGCCCAACCTCCGGCAGCAAGGGGGGTCCGACCTTATCAAGGAGGACCGTGGGACAGTGCGCACCCGAGCTGTCTGCCCTCCGTGTAAAGGAACAAGAACTGTCCGCGCACGAGCCATCAACATTGCTGATCCCAACCCAGCAGCGTTACACCAGGTGAAACAATGACAGAACGCCTGAGGAGCTTTCAGCGTGTGACAGGCCCTTTCCTCTGCAGGCTGGGATGTTTCCCCCCGGCGTGGCTGACCTCTACCAGGAGGGGCACAACGAAGAACAGCGGCGATCGGCTGAAACCGGCAAAGCGGTACAAACACCGCCAGCCGAAGATCAAACCCCAGCCGGGACCCCGACACAGTCACTGCAGGGTCCAGACAACTCCCCCCCCCATCAGCGCAGCTCTGGAGCCCCAGCTGCACACTGCGGCCCGAGCCCAGGCTCAAGGAGTGCTGCAGGAAGACAACGCTCTCCTCGCTGCGCGCGTGGAGAGAACTCACGAACGGGACTGGCCGGGGGCCTGCAGGCACACTCCTCATCGCCAGCCCCCCCCCCACCCCACAGGTCCGGCGGTGGTCCGGGGTCCAGGCAGGGCCGAGGTAAGCACCGTGTCCTGCAGGCGCAGCAGGGAGAGGAAGCGTTGTGCACAGGCCCCTGGCAGTACGCCCAGCTGGAAACCACAACAAGGCTCTTTCGCTCGCCAGTTAGAAGGAAAAAGGGTACCGAAACAGACCACAGACAGCTGAACACTAATTCACTCTTAGTAGGAAGCAGGACGAAGGCACTGTCTCAGGTCTGTCCCTGCTGAAAAGAAACACCGTTTCGGCTGTGGAGCCATGAACGTTTCTTTTCTTCTCTTTTCAGCAGGGAACGAACCTTTGCTTGTTCAAAAGCGAGCTAAACCACGCTTGCGTTTCCTGTGACTTGATTCCAAGAAGCTCTTCTGCGATCGGCTCTGAGAAACGGCGTTAGGCAGGAGAGCAGCGTCCCGGGACCACGCCCTGCTCCGCACAGACGACATTCATTCCCTTTTCCAGACGCAGCCCGGCAGTCCTGCTAGGTGGAGTTTCCCATTTTCCTCAAACGAGTATTTCCAGGTTTCCTGGCCGAAACTCCGCTATTGCGCTGGGAACCCAACAGGGAAACAGGAAACCTACACTCACAACTAGCGGACAGGGAGAGCAGCGGGCATAATCTCCGCATTTGTCACGCGCTCGTTTTGCGTTCTCGATTTAACAGTGGGGTGTGGGAAGGGAGCCCCTCGCAGGAAAGCAGAAAACACAAACGAAGGTTAAAACAGCAGAGTCATAAACACAAAACTCAGCAACTCAAAAGTGCTGGTGTACTCAACCAAGAGCTCCGAGTCACTAGTGTGGGCCTGGCTGACCTCAGGCCTGTCTGGAAACCCACAGCTTAAATATAGATGCTGATTGTAGGTTTGCACTGGAAAGTCAGGCCGTCTGCAGGAAGGCCTGCTGAGCTCGCAGTCCACTGCAAACATTTTCAACAAGAGACGGTGCAAACTTGCAGCCTGAATTGATCTGATCTCACAGCCGGGTGTGCCTGATCTGCACAGGTGTAGGAGGAGCACCAGGCCACTGGTGGACCAGTAGGAGGCGCTCTTCTACTGGAGGAGAACCAGCAGCCCAGTATGGTGAATGGGGAGGCCGTGCTGCAGGAGTCGCCATCCTTCAGATGAAACCGAAGGTCCTGAGGTCCTGTTTACTTGGTCAAAGGCCCCACAGGTGATCAGAAGAATTCTGGGCATTAAGCCTGGTATTCTGGGACAGAGCTTGAACGGTCTGCTCTCCCTGAAGCTTCCCCATATTCCACCTGGTGAAGCAGATTCTTCCTAATGGCAGCTGCGCAGAGGGGCAGCTGGGGCAGAATGGCAGCTGGGGCAGAGGGGCAGCCAGGGCAGCTGGTGCAGAATGGCAGACGGGGCAGCTGGTGCAGAATGGCAGACGGGGCAGCTGGTGCAGAATGGCAGCTGGTGAAGAGGGGCGGCCATGCAGAGGGGCGGCCATGCAGAGGGGCAGCTGGGGCAGAATTGCAACCGTGCAGAGGGGCAGCTGGGGCAGAGGGGCAAAGTGGGTCCCTTTCAGTGCTGAAGAGCTTTGGGACCCAGTGGGGTGAAAAGTGCAATATAAATGCAAGAAATGACCCCACGCCACCCCCACATGAGGCCCCAGGGCTGGAAAGCACGTGCACCCCCCGTCCCCACGACCTGGCTGAAGAGGAACGGACACAAAGCCTCCCAGCATCCTCTCTTCCCCTCGGCCAGCCGCAGGCGCCGGCCCCCGCAGGTGTGCAGGAAGGGCAGGGGGGGTCTCGGCCCGCACGGGGGGGGGCGGCAGCAGGAACCGCAGCCCAGGTGCGGGACCTCGGCCCGGGGCACGAGCAGGCCCGCAGTCTGCAACGGGCCCCGGACACGAACCCCGCCCTCTCTCGCGGCGGCCCTGCTGCGCTGAAGAGCCGGCATCCCATCGCCAGCCCGACACGCACAGACACGGCCGGGACACTGAGAGCCGAGCGTCCGCAGGGGGGTTTCCCCGGGCTCGTTCCCGGCCTTCTGGTCCGCTCTTGTGATTCGGGACTCCTCTTCCGGCCCGGCGGCTCCGAGCAGCTCAGACCCCACACACATCCCGCTGCTCATCAACCAAGGGGCAGGTCGGGACTGATCGGCGCTCATGGGTCATGGAGGGGGCACGCTGATGAGTCCTGATCGACCCCATTTCCCCCTTTCAGGGAAGAAGGCCAGACCTCCGTGGTCATCTCGCTTTCAGTTTCACTTCCAGACTTATTTAACAAAGCTCATTACATGTGAAATCGACTGTTTTCTGCATCTGAACCAGAGGCAAAATGAAAGTACCTGTAAAGCCTAGAAGATCACCGGACAGCCCAGACTGACCGAAAGCCCAGAGGTCACCTCACACACAACACTGTCACCGGACAACCCAGGCTGACCGAAAGCCCAGTGGTCACCTCACACACTCAGGGCTATAGCACTGGACAGCCCAGACTGACCGAAAGCCCAGAGGTCACCTCACACACAACACTGTCACCAGACAGCCCAGACTGACTAAAAAGCCCAGCGGTCACCTCACACACAGGACTGTCACCAGACAGCCCAGACTGACCAAAAGCCCAG